CCTTACCGCGTCACGTTTTCCCCTCTTATATATACCAGCCTACCCTACTAGTAAATACTAGACCATTCGCTAAGATACGGGATAGTTCTAGAAACAAGAGAGCGTGAGAATTGTCACGTGATCTCGATGACGCAACACCTCCATTAAATGCTCCCACAAGTATGAACCATTTTTAACTGTCATAGGTTGTTTAGGCCTATGTTTCATTCCATGTCAAAATCAACTGGCTTCTTCAAAGTGTCGCGATAACTCTCAACACACTTTACGTTTTACAAAATATCGCATATATATAAAATCTACCCGTGTTCTAGATATTTCTAAAACTAACTTATACTTAACGTCATATTACATCTTCAACAACCCGCAGCTTCTTCTAGCTAAGAAATAAATTACAACATTGAAAATATAGCTTACAATAATACCCATTGACCACTGTTTTACTAAAAGATCACTGGGCCTTTTCATAATTTTGTCAATAACACATTGATGTAGCTTCTTCATTTTCGGTCAAATCAAATTTATTTACATTTCATGATAGTAAATATAGCACAAAATATAAAGAATATATAAACAAAACTTGGATACAAACTGAAATTTTTGAAATGTTAAGAGACCTTAATAAGAGTGAGAGAGATATACATATGAATGTAGTACGCGGTGGAGGTTTATAAGAATTAACTTCTATATGTATGTCCCACATTTGAAGTGCCCTCAGTCTGCTGACTTATAACGATAGAAACACGGTTTCGATACCCATGGTGGAAAGAGCATAGACGACTCATTGTGTAGCTTTGTGTTTAACAACAAGCAAACACATGTGAAATAAAATTAGAAATATAGAGAAAATAATTATTAGTACACGTATTCAGATTTGGGTGTTCAAGCCCACATATCTCAAATTTTATATTACCTTTCAGGATAAACACTAATTTTATGGTTTATCTATATTTTATTAATTTAATAATTTGGGACAGTAATTAAAGTCATTGTTGTGTTTAAAGAATAAACTATGTTTCGTGAAACTAAATACATGAGTAAATAATTTGTCTTATATTTAAAGGTGTTGTCTCTGTAAAGATGGCGCTTAGGAGTCAACGCGGACATCGCCCGGTAACAGAAAGTGCTTTTAAGCCTAAAAGTAAGTAAAATTGAGTTAAAGGTAAATCACTTCATTAAAGTTGGATTGTATAAAGTGACAGGGGATTTGCAAAGTTGGTTAGTAATATTTTGAAAATTATAACGAGTTTTGTACCGCAGTGACTTTTTTCTAAGATGGGAATAGACGAAGTTTTAAAGTTTCTGATTTATGAATCTGTTTGGCAATATGCTTTGTTTTTCCCATTGGACGTATGGACGAAGTTGGCTCTTAAGAAAATCAGGTAATGTTATTATTGTTTAATTTTAGTGTCGGTGCTAGGCTTAGGCGTTTTCAAATTATTGTTGCCCTGTCTCTTCAACAACAAGGTTAAGTAGTTTAGGAATTAAATTTAGAGATGTGTTGTTCGTTATCGATTCCTTCTCTCGGAACAACTCATTTAATCAGTATGCCTATGAACAGTATGGTGAATCATGGAAATCCGGTTAGTTCCGTTTGAATCGATTCTTTTGATTTATCCGATTAAAAAACATTGAAACAAACTAGTTAACTACGTGAAGACTGGTGTAACCAATCTAATAACATAAAACCTATCAAGTGATTTAGAAACTTTAATGGAGTACGATAATCATTCTAAAATTTCGAACTTACAAAGTTAAATCTACAAACGAAAATTCACATCACACACACACACACACACATATATATATGTATTATATACATTCAAAATAATTACTATTAAATATTATCATTTATTAGTAATACTACTACTAATAGTATCATTATTTATTTATTTAAAAACAAGTGATAATGTTAAAAGGTAGAAACGTTATGTTTTGTGTTTTTATTATTTTAAATAAAAGTTAATACCCATATTATTACCCGTCTACCAATACTATATATTTACTTCAAGTGGATTCCTCGTCATTGTTTATTATATATAACTAACCGATATTTGTTTAGTGCTTGAGAAATATTGAATTGCTTGTATTTTGTGTTGTACTTATGACAAAAAATTTGAAATTTGATATATCGTTTTACTATTGTGATATTCTCTTTTTCCATTTTAGTGACTAAAATTGAATTTCAGTACCTTTAATAGTTCCCTTTAAACCTGTGTAATCAATGAAAGCATCCTGCTTTGGTAAAATTCAACTTTTTATGGTGGGGGACCTGTAAATCCAACTGGTAGAACTTAATGCACCTGACAAATATGATAGGGCTCTCATCAGCTAAACTTATAAATTGAAAAAGGTGAGGGGATGAAAAAGTTAAAAATATGTACACAAACAAAGATGTTTAATATTATTAGAGATGATACATTTGGGTTATCATAATTTGAATTATAAGAATAATTTGGATGGAAATAACCTTAACAGTGTCATGAAAGAAAGGGGTTTTGGTGTAATGGTTGATCAATCTCATAAGCCACCTAAGCAGTGTTGTATCTACACAAATATTGAATACAAGTCTAAAGAGATTATAATTTCATTGTATAGGTCACTGGTTGGGCCACATTTGGAGTATTGTGTTCAGTCTTGGGCTGTTTACCTTAAGAAGGGACATTGAATTGTTGGAAAGGGTTCAGAGGAAGGTTACTAGAATGGTGCCTTGGATGGAGGGTTTGTCATATGAGGAGAGATTAAGATATTTGATAGATTGTTTAGTAATTGATGATATTTAGTTGAATAGTATAAAGGACAATGTTTTGAAAGTCTTCTGCCTTTCGTCTTCAGGGCAGTGTGTATATAGTGTTGTTGGCTTTTATAGTATTCTAGTGGATTATGGAGGGAATATTATGATTGGTTGGTTTATCCCTGTTCTTGATTGGTAGCCACAGGTTACTCACCTCTAATCAGAATCTCTGTGTAGTGAAGGTTTATTGTGTTAATGGAAAAGGATTCTTTAATTTTACTTGTCTTCCAAAATTTGTCTGTGTCGATGATTTTAGTTTTTTCTCAGTTTATTTTGTGTCCGGTTGACATGGTATGTACTGCAATGGCCGAGTTTTGTGTTTTCATGAGTCTTGTACTGCCTTTAAGTTCATTTATTCTTGTGGTGAGCCTTCTTCCCATTTCTCCAATGTATGTTTTGTTGCAGGCACATGGAATTTCATAAATGATGTTTTTGTGTTTCTTATTAGTAGGTTTCTGTTTGTTTTTCACTAGAATGAATCTTAATGTCTTGTAAGATATCCATCAAATGTCTATGTTAAATTTCTTTGCTATGCATTTGAGTTTTTCACTGAAATTTTGCATAATACTCTGCCTAACCAATTTATCAAAGAATACCTAAAGAGCTGTTATGAACCAGCTTCTATCAAGAAGATCAACATCTACAACAAGAACCTTACTAAGCTTGCACATTGCTCTAATAACCTGACCTTTCTACTATGCTGCAGAGATTTGAACATCATCCCAGACTTTCTGATACTCAAAGAAACTACTTTTGCCAGAACTACAAAGATAAAAAAAATTATCGACAATACCAGCAGGCACCTCCTAAGATTACATATAGAAGAACATAAGACATAAGAAGCACCGCCTAACTAAGACAACTGAAACACAACATCCAACCTAGAAAGCATCAAGAAGAAACAAGTCCAAAATTCAACAGAAAGATAACCCTAGGACTATAAACATAGTTCACAATTACAGTTCGAGAAAACTAAGTGATACAGAAAACAAGATTCTTAACCTAGGTCTAAGCTTCACCATACAACTTAGCACAGTTCTAACTGTGTAAATAACTGCAACCTCAGAATCTGCTGCATAAAACGTCCCGAAACCTGTGATTGAGCAATTCCAACACCAAACTTACACCATCCTCAGGAATGCCAAGAAACCAAAATCAAACATCACTAAACAAAAATGCAGTGTACTGAACCATCTAAAATGGGACAACACAATCAAGTTTCTACCAACAGACAAAGGAAACAGTATTGTCATCTTAGACATCAAAGATTATGACTCAAAGATCAAGCAGTTACTAGACAAACACCAATACAAAAAGATCACCAATAACCCTACAGAAAAGACATAGAGACTTCTCAATAGAACACTGAACCAACTTAAGAACCAAAACTTAATCAATGAAAAGCTAGACAAAAACTTAAGAACCAATGACAATTTCCTCATCAGTGCTATAAACTCACTTTGTCATCAATTAGTTACCTTCTTGGTACCTATCCTATCTCCACAACTAGGGAATACCAAACATCACATTCACAATTCAAAAGATTTCATACACACCAGATCACAGGATATTCTGGTCAGTTTTGATGTCACAGACCTATTTACCAGTGTTCCAACTTCAGAAACCCTTCAATACACCAGACAATGACTGCCACACAGAACTGACATGAAGATAGACACCATCATGGAACTGAGGATTATTTGCCTACAATTAAATTATTTCCAATACTATAACAAGGAATTCTATGAACAAACAGTTGGTCTAGCCATGGGATCACCAATCCTAGCAGATATTTTCATGGAAGACTTTGAGAAAAGAGCCCTTTCATCCACACACATAAAACCAAGTTTCTACAGAAGTTATGTTGATGACATCTTCGTTATCTGGCCCCACAGTTATGGGAACTTACCAACCTTCTTAGAACATCTTAATTATATAGACAAAAGAATCCACTTCACCATGGAAATAGAGGAAAAAAAAGAGCCTACCATTTCTTGAACTACTTATCGACAGATAAGAGAAAAACCACTGCAACTGTATATAGAAAACCCACCCACACAAATATATACCTACACTTCCAGTCCTATCATCCAACCTTGATAAAATATGGTATATTCCAATGCCTAAATAAGAGAGCAGAAAACATTTGCAAATAGACATCCATAGAAACAGAATGCCAAAAGATCCTAGGGTACTTTAAACAGAACTGTTACACAAGAAGAGTTAGAAGGGATCTGACTGAGGTGTTTAAGATTGTAGAGGGAATTGATAGTGTTGATGCATCATCTTTTTACATACTTAATGACAATAATAGTAGGAATAGGGGACACAAATATAAATTTTGGCAAGGTAGGAGTCATTTTGATCTAAGACAGTTTTATTTTTCTAACATGGTGGTTGGCTTCTGGAATGGGTTGCCTTCAGATGTAGTGGGGCATTAAATTTAAGTGAGTTTAAGAGAAAGGTTAATAACTATATGAATGATAAAGGCTGGCTTTAAGATGATTATTATTTTTTAATACATAATAGTTTAGTTTAGAGGATGGGATAGTCATGATGGACCAATAGGCCCCTTGTTGTCCCTAAATGTTATGTTATACAGTGCTGTGCAATAATAGACACTATAGGAAGAAAAAGCTTATGTAATCAATAACACTATTAACAATGTTGTGAAGGAAAAGACATGGTTTAATGCAACAAATATGATATGTCTGAGCCTTTTACTGTCAACCCTGTAATATGCAAGGAATTCAATTGACTGTTATTGGGAGAAGGGCTGGGTTGTGATGTTTATAGATGGTTTACTTTTTTATTCATTTTTACCAGATACAGCTAATAAGTTTTTGTGAGGTTGTTAACTAGTTTGCATTGTGATTTTTTCTTTAAGATTTTTATTTCAATCTTTTGTCAACCTATATTTCATATTTAAGAAGCACATTTACTGAGTAAATCAACTTTACAATTGTATATCTAGTAATTTTCTGTTTAAGTAACCCTTTGTAACCAAGTGCTTCAGCCTAGATGTGTTTCAGCTTATCAAATGAACAAATCTTGAATCAGCTCATAAATTGAACTGAATCAAACTGCATTTCCCTGACAATAATACCTTGATATCAGTATGATAATGTAAGCAGTACCAGGGGTATAGCTGGAGCCTTAATTATATGTAACCATTCATAGCAGAGGGCCTTGAGGGACATTTACTAAATGCCAAAAATTTGCATTTACGATGTCTGAGTCACTTTACAGGAGACTGGATGGTTGCATTGGGTTATTCCTTTTTTTTACATTTTTGCATCAAAATATTCCATGTTGAACTAATAAATACTGTTTGATAGAAGTAAATGGTGAACTTTAAAGCTTTCAAATCAAACAGAAAAAAAGGAAAATATGTAACTGATTTTTGGCCCTTGCATTATACAGGAAGCCTTGCTCTTGAGCATCTAATGATGAACAAAGTTAATGATCTAAGAAAATAACTCATTTTTAATCTTTAAATTTATAAACAATTTAATATTATCAGAGGAAATCTAATTTACATATTTTATGAATTTATCATGTTCCTCAACATCACCTTCTTAAACTGCCATAACTTTAACGTTGTTTGTGTTATAATACTTACGACTGTAAAATATTTCTAATAAAATGGACAGAATTATGCATAAATGTTGGTTGTGTGTGTATCATCTTTGCTATCCTACAAAATTGGTGTGTCTCTAATTAGTTGTCCCCTAGTGGGACATTGGCAAGCTTACACTCTTCCATCACTAAAACCTGGTGTTTAGTTTCCAGTGGTTGACACATCAGATAGCCCAGTGTGTTTTTGCGCTAAGTCAAACTAATTCTAGTTAGTTAATACTTATTTTTTTAAACTTCTGCTTCGATACTGTACATTACCTCTTCTCACATAAATAGCTATTCTCATTCAGTGCTGCCATATATATGCAAAAGAATTGTTTGCATGCCACAAGCCTTGAGCTCCCATCTACCTTACAATCAATTGGTTCAAATGCATCTCGCATGCCAATAATCGTGTGACAAATCTCCACCAATAAGAGTGCGACACAATCTCCTGATGCATGTTACTCCTATTCAACTCTACCGAACTATCACTTCTTGTTTGGCAGTACTCATGTGAAGTTTAGTGCTCATTGAATTTAATCAACTTCAAGATTTATTTTTTTTAGTTACTATTCCAAAGTTAATGGCTTTTCAGATAACTTATTGTCCTAGTTTTTCATATTTTTTTCCCATTAAACACTTGTGGACTTTGGGTCAGTTTGCCTTGGCCTGCCATCAGGCTGATTGACCATTTCGTGACTTTCAACAGTTAGAATAAATCTTGTCCGTGTGGGGAGTGGACCCTGATCATCCTTTTCGTTTAACCCACGCCTAATTTTCCCACTTTTGTCTTACCTTACTTACTCTCCTACTGTACTTGTCTACTATCCATCCCCTTTCTGAGGCAGTCCACAGAGATCCTAAGAGTTTTTTGAGGGATTATCTCTCCCTGATACCTCCACCTTGGCATATTTGTCTTCTTTGGCTCTAGCCTTACACACACATGGTTTCTCTGTTGTTGGGATCTCCTGGGGAAGGACACAGCCTTGTCCCAGGTTCATTTACTGCCTCCTTATCTCCAGGACTTACGTATGGCTCTTTTTTCTTTAGTGGGATGATTTTATTAATATTCCTGAGACTTTGGAATCCTGTGTGGAGTCTGTGCACACTACCCCTTATTTTTTGGTGGATTGTTTGTTGCATTCTGAGCCTAGACATGCCTCTATTACTGTTTTCTGTCCAGCTTCTTTTCAGCCTTTACCTGTTCTTCCCTCCAGGGTTTCCTCATCTCATTGTTTTATCATCCATGCCACTCCGTGTCAAGTTCTTCTGATTGCTCCTTACTGACTGGCACAACTGTGGTTCCCGCAGCTCCTCCAGCTCTGATCTGCTCCTCCGTTACCTTACTCCATCCCTTCTACGTCAACCTTGTTCATTGGCTTTCATTCATCTCTTCCTATCCTTCATTTTCACACCTGTTTTTTTATCTGGTCCCTGGCAAGGAGATTCAGTTTGTCCCAAAGGGTAGTTTCTTTTTTAGCTTGTTCCATTTGCCTTGCCTCTAGGTATGTTTATCAACTTAAGTGGAACGTTTTTGTTGTTTGTCTTCGGATCAGGGGTTTTCAACAGCTGGACCTACGGTTCTTCATGTTATGGATTTCCTCACTTGACTCTGTGATCAGGGATCTCCTGTCTCCTCAATCATGGGTTATTGGACTGCCTTATCTCACACTTTTTGTTTTTCCCTTGCACCGGTCCCTCCAACTACTGTATTGGAAGTTACAATTTTTTTACACTGAAAATATGTATCTGATAGGTACTTACCTCCTCTCACATTTCCCAGCCTTCTTCCCCACAGAAAACCGGTGCTAATTTGGTAGAATTGAATAGAGAGAATCACCTATTAGGAAAGTGTCACACTCTTATTGATGGAGGGTTGTTCACAAGATGATTTATGTACAAGATGCATTTGAACCAGTTGATTGTAAGATACATGGGAGCTCAAGGCATGTGGCACGTGAAAACGTTTTTTTCCATATAGAGGGCAGCACTGAACAAGAATATCTAGTTATGTGAGAAAAGGTAAGTACCTTTGAAAATATATTTTCAGTATAGGAAAATTATAACTTTCAATTAGTTGATTACACAGGCCTGAGAATTCAAACTTCATAAAAGTTGTTTTGGTTTTAATAATGGATTTTCCATAATTCAGTTATGCAAATTTCAAAAATAATATTAATTTTTTCTATCAATTAAGGATTTTATACAAATTAGGAAGAAAAACTCTTCCTTAGATCAAATTATTATGTTTGTTAACAAAAATACAAGCAAACTGAAGAAAAGTGGAAAACATTTGTCAAATGAATATGCATGCTCATTTATCCTGATTTTTTTTTTGAAATCTACATCTTTTAGTCTCAAACATGGTTGCCCTTTCAGCCATGGGGCATTGTAATGTGACAGTCAATCTCACTATTCAATGGTAAAAGAATAGCCCAAGAGTTGGCAGTGGGTGGTGATGACTAGCTGCCTTCCCTCTTGTCTTTCATTGCTAAATTAGGGACGGCTAGTGCAGATAGCCCTTGTGTAAAATTCAAAACAATCCAAACCAATGATCAAAGTTATGAGTTGTAGTTTAGCAACCAAACTGTAGATTTAATAGCATAAAATTTATTGGCCTATTTATAAATGTACAGATTATTGATTAAATTTCCTGTTGTGAAGATTTGTCTACCTGAAAAAAAAAATCATCTAGACTGTAATTTAGGAATAGTGAATAATTAAAAAAAAGAATAATATTTGGAAATGCTAATTTCAGTTAGTCGGTTATTTTCATGATATTAATCGATTTAATAATAATTTAGATTGATTATTTATTTTAAATGAGAATAATAATCTTTGTTCAAAGGTAATTGACTATATTGATTAATAGAGTTAATTGCCCATCTCTAACCATATCCATACTTTCCTGAATAGAACTTGAATTCCCAAAATGCCTCTGGTAAAGATTATGGAGTTTTGTTTATAATCACTATGTAAGTTTTTATTAAACCAACTTATTAACAACAAAGTGTACTAGTATTTTTAATGTTTTTATTTTTTTGGCTTTATCTTATGCTTAACTTCTGTATTAGTAATTTCAGATTTTAAATACATGATTGTATTTCATATAATATAATACAACAATTTACCAATTTTCATAATTGTAGTATCTTATTGTTCCAAGAACTTATGAATGATTTTTTTAATGATGTATTTACAGCACAGCAGAACAACAGCAGCATGTATGGAGATCTCAAGCCCAAATTCTGTTGGTTCTTAGTGTGGTGATTTTAGTTTGGAGACACGTTTTACCATTTCTCATGTTGTTGTTAGCCTTTGGAGCTTACTTGTCTGGGAACAATCTGACTCTGAAAGAAGCTGTTATTCATAGTCTCAGATGTTTCTCAATATGGTGGTGGTATGGATTGAGCATACTTAGCACATACATAGTTTCTACTTGGTTTTGGTGTGTTTTTATCATTGGAGATGGTATTACATACATATATGATAGAATACTTGGAAACTTTGAATCATCAGTACTGGAAGGTTACTTGTCTGGTTTACTAATAGATATTAAACATGTAATGTTTTTTATGGTGAAAAAAGTCTCTGACTTTGGAAAGAAAACATGGGCTTCAATTGTGTTTTGGGCAGATATTTTTCATTCCAGTCCTTGGGAAGAACACTTGTCACCTGATGAACAACCAGCATCTGAGATCACTGCCAGACCAAGTCAAAATAATGCTTCATCAGATACAAAGAGAATATTTGGTCAAGCTCAATGTGAAGTAGCCCAGCAGAAGGCTACTTTATTAACCACTCAACAGCTGGAAACCTCATATAAATCACCAACAAACTTTGAAGAGTTGTCTCTTTGTTCTGAATCACAGAAGAAATATCAATTGCAAAATGTTGATGTGATGTCAAAATTTGTCCCTGTGTTGGATTTTGCACATAATCTTTGGACTAAGACATGTGATCTATTTAAAAATAATTTCAACCAAATACCTTCTAGAAGTCAACCTTCTTTTAAGGGAACATATCCTCCTGGATTAAAAAACAGAGGACAAAACTTGTGTTTCTTGAATTCTGTTCTTCAGTGTTTTTTTAGATCTCCAAATCTGTGGCCAAATCTACAGTTTTCTTTAACTGATGAGGTTATATCAGCCATACATTTACCTGAGTGTGATCAGACATTTTTAATGTCTTTCAGAGATCTTATGCTTGCTGTTCTTATTCATTCTCCTACCTTAAAACTTCAAATTCAGTTCTGTGAAGCTGTTAGTTCTCTTGCACCCTCCTTAGTAAACCCTTCAATGAGTTGCCAGCACCAGGTGCAACAAGATGCTGTAGAGTTTCTGATGTGGCTTATCAATAAACTTCACCAAACTCTAAGCAGCAAAGCTCAATATCTCCATCTTCCTTCCAAAATTAGCTCTGTGAGACCAAGTCTAAAAGAAATGAAAAATGGACATTCACTTACCTGCTCTCCTAGCTTTCAAGAAAAAGTGTGGAAACAATTATGTTTTTCAGGTGTCATCACTCATTTTACCAATAAAGATTTAAGAGAAATTGGCCAAAAAACTGACCTAGATTGGCTAATCTATAAAAGACAGAACTCATCACCAATTGACAGCCAGTTTGTTGGACAAGCAGCAGAATTTCATCAATGTCTGAAGTGCTATAAGACATCCTTTACCAGCCAAGTATACAACATCCTGGCTTTGCCTCTTTCACTCAAATTCAAGAATGGTAGTCAGAGCTTAACCCTGCCAGAACTTCTTGAGGCTTTTACTCAAGTTGAGGAATTAGTGGAGTCTAAAGATCTGAGATGTACTTGTGAAATAAATTCAAAAGAAACACCTCAGCTTACTCACAGTTATAAACATTCAAGCCCTTTAACACCTTGTGGGTTTGGATTTACCCCACCATTCATACAGAGAGCTTTTAAGGCTAAAACTTCCACACCAGTAACTTTCCCCATTAGATTTGCTTCAAGGGCATGTTCTTCAACACCATACCCAACCGCATCACCATTAAGCAGCCTTCTCCAGAGTCCAATTTTGCCAGCACCACCAACTAATCAGTGTTTCAAACTCCAGTCCACTCAGTGGCTGAAAAGAACACTACTGTGTCGTTCACCTCCGTGCCTTAACATCCAGTTATTAAGGTTCCAATATGATACAGCTAAAGGAGTGCCTTGCAAATTATCTTACCCTGTGGAAGTGCCACTATTCAATATGTTTGTTCCTGTAGTAAATGGTTCTAATTCCATTCTTGATACATCAATTAAAACCCATAAGTCTCAGGAATATGAACTATATGGATTGGTCTTGCACTTAGGAGCACATTCTACAGCATATGGGCACTATGTAGCTTATGCACAAGAACATGACACAACTGGCAAACCTGTTTGGTTCAGATTTGATGATGAGGTTGTGACAGAAGTGAAAAACATGTCGATGGAACTGGACAGAAGAGAAGTGCAGGAAAATGTATACCTTCTTTTTTATAAACAATGCAGTGTTTGAAAAACCAATCTATAAAAATATTATTTTAGTGGTATTTGAAATACAAAGAAAACTGTCAAATAATACCATGGATAATTACTAATTGGTTAGTTTCTCTGTCACAAATGTGGTAGTTGACATGGTTTTTTCTACAGAAAAACATTTTTTAAACACATATTTTTTATTTGTATATAGATATCATACAAGCATAATTTTAATGTAATTACACATATTGTCATTTCATCATCTTAAAAAATCCTAAATTTTAGTTTGTAAATGTATAAGAATAATAAATATTCATGTGACTGTTTTAAAAATGTTGTAATAAATAAATTTGTACTGACATTTTATTGCAATTTTACTCTCTTTTTAAATGGCCTAAATATATATGTTGTACAGTGAGTGGACAGTGGAAGAAAAACCTGATAGTTTTAAGCTGTGACACATTTTCACCTTATCTTAAACTTTTATTGATTGGTATTATTTTTCTTATAATGCATTACTTACAATCCTTAGTTTTATACATAACAAAAATATGGAGTTATACTAGTATAGTACACTGATGTTTAATAATGAAGATGGTTGATAAAACATTAAACATTTTATTTACAAGGTTCAAATGCTTTGGAATAACTTATTCCATCTTAAGTGAAATCTGAAAATTGTGTTACAAAGATGATTATTACTAAAATTATAATATAATAACATAATCATTAGTTTACTTAGTTATTAAGGAAAACGGTAAATGGACAGATGAAACGTCCATACAGAACAGCTGAATTAAATGTGAAAATTTAGAACAATATTAGATCTAAAGAGCTTTGTGAGTTGTTAAGGGTCAGGTGGTCTTTAACTATGAGTAGACTTTTTTAATGTAGGAGTCAAGGTCTGAGGTGATGAAAGAGAGAGAAATTATTAAATGAAATATTGTGACCTGTGGTTTCAGGATGTGGCTGGGTTTAAGTAGTGGATGGTTGGTTCTGTTAGATACTTCAAAATGTTCACAGACTAGTTTTTTAAGTGGCATTTTGTTTTGCCAATGTATGTGACCTTACAGTTACTGCACGTATATTTGTACACGAACCATGAACGTACTTGATTTTTGTACTGAAATAAGTGTTTAATACGGAGGTTAGGTCTGTATATTATTTTAAGCTGAATTTGAGGGTAGAAGTTTTTTTATTAGGGAAGAGAGTTGTTTTATCCTTCAATTTACCACTTTTCTTAATAACTAAGTAAACTAATGATTATGTTATTATATTATAATTTTAGTAATAATCATCTTTGTAAAACAATTTTCAGATTTTGCTGAAGATGGAATAAGTTACTCCAAAACGTTTGAACCTTGTAAATACAATGTTTTATCAACCATATTCATCTTCATTATTAAACTTTGGTTTCCCCATCATGAATCCATTGCTAGTACACTGATACTTAATAAAACCAAACTAATTAAGAAACAACATTGTTTCAGGTTTTTGTATGCTCATTATTCTACTGAAATGGAAATTATTATTAGTGTGGGAATTCATATAAAATACTTTCACAATTTCAAGTCTTGATCACTTGTTAAAAGTAGTATTTAAAGGTGGTGGGTTTTGTAATTCCTGTAAAGGATTTTTAATGTAAGCATTTTTATAACAAAGTATTGTAAAATATTTACATAGAAACTTGAAGGTATATAATTGAAAAAGAGTCACTAAATATTTCTCAAATGTATTAATATTTTTGAAGAGGTGTTATAACTTATACATATTGCTTTTCAGACTAAAAGCTGAAAAATAACATCTAATCAAACTTAATTTAAAGTTTTACATTCCTGAAATCCAGGGTTTATTTCTCCATGATGGAGAAAGCAAATATAGCCCATTATGTAACTTTGGGCTAAAAAAACAGTGGAGAATTATGGGGCTGAATTAGAAGATTTATATTCCACATACACGTTTTAAAGAATTACTCTGTAAATTCATATTCTCTGAAGGATTTTTCTTAAAATAGCTATCATGTACCTGTATGGCCATGTAACCATTACAGAGAATTACTATTTTTTGTACTGGTTAATAAAGACACTATGAATGATGTTGGTGATAAGCCTTATTGGCATCAGGTTTTCATGTTTATAACCTGATATTCTTATCTTTATAAATAGAACTACTTAATTTTTAGGTTAATTTTTTTCATCTGTAATTAAATATACCACATTTATCAGTTACTCAAAGAATTCAGTGCCTGCTATACTGTGTTCATGTATAATTCAGAGATAGGTGGAATATAACAACTGGATCACTCAGGTTCATTTCTCACTAAAATATAAAGAAAAATAAGCAAGTGCATTGGTGTCTGTAATGTTATTTTTCAAAGCTAATGAAATGTGCACTTACTCTAGAACACAGTTGTAACCATTACTCTCAGGTGGACTATGGGTAAGCATTGAATTAAAATGTTTACTTTGATATATTCTTTGCAATCCAGAACAAGAAAAGTAAGATTTTCATAATTCTGGTTGTTTTTTTATCAGTATCTTTTTTTTTTATAAAGCCAGCATGATTTATGCATTATGGAACACAGTACTGAAATAAACTGAGAATGAATTTGGTATTTTTAGTCCTAAAGTAATTATAAAAATAGCTAGTTTTGGATGGCAATTCTCATGAAGAGTCTGAGAAGAGTTTATAATAAATTTGTTGTGTTTGTATATCCCCAGAGCATTGATATTTTAAAAATTGTGAATAAACCACTTTTTGGGGGGAGAAATCATACCTACTGCCATTTATTTTAAACCCATCAGACCCTCTAAATGTTTTAAAAATCAGGAAGAAAACAGTACCAGGTAAAAAATAAGTCTTAAAATTTGTAGCTAATTCATTTTTAGTGATTACATCTTTGGCATTTTGACTAATTAGTACTAGTTATATAGCCAGGATTATTTGTTATATTTTCTAAGTTAAATTCCCAGTTTCAATAGTCATAGTTGTAAATTGCCAATAAGCTTGTAAAGTTTTAAGGTGACATAAAGACTGGGTGTATTCATGATGTTTTTTGAATATCTCATTCAATTATGAAGATATCTTTTAAAAATGAGCAATCTGACAAAAAAAAAAGCTAACCTTTCTTCTGGTGCACTGTTTCTGAAATCCAGTAATAAGTAAATGGTGGTTTCAGTTCTAAACAAAAAGTAATGTTTTGCAAAAAAGCAGCAGTTCACCTTATTATTAACAAGGTTGTGTTAACTAGCTGAAAGCTATCCCAAAATGTTTACTAATTTTGGCTAGTATAGTATTAAAGTATCCATTACAATTGAGTTTTCCTTCCCAAGGCCTTGATGGCTTGTGATGGAATTGTCATTTTCACACTGATATTCTTCTTTTTCATTTGTATTTCTGTTGTGATCCAGATCATCTCCTCTGCCTGTTTCATGCTCTCTGATGTTAACTTGCATGCATGTCTTTCTTCCTTGATTCCAGTTCCCATTTCCTTTTCCATTGGAATCCTTCTTCCAACTGTAACCTTTCTGGTTGGATTTTCCAACTCATTTGGTTGGTTTCTTCTTCCTTGTCTTCAGTTTTCCATCATATTTTCATTGTCTCCCCCTACTCTGGATACCAATTGTTGCCCATTGACATACTACACACTTTAGTTCCACTTTTGAGTATGCAGGTTTTCATTTATTTCCTTCTCCTACAGTGGTCCTATCTTCATATAGGATCCCACTCTAGTAAGTGATACCTGTTCAGGTATACTTTTCTGCTGAGGAACTCCCATCCTACTGCCTCCTAGATGTTAGTTCCAAAGTGGTCTGGTTTTGGATGAAAGTTGGATCAGCCACCAAAATCTGCACTACAACACCCACCATTGAGATGGAGTGTTCCGCAAGACTTGCTAGTAGGTTCATCCTCACAGTATATTGCATTAAAAATATGCCCATCCCAGACCATACCAACTCATGGACTATCATGAGTAAAGCAGGGAAGGGATTGTTGCCCATCCCTCCATTCCTGGTTATATACACTAGGTTCAGCCTGTTTTCAAAAATAGGGTTCCTCAGTCACCCATTGTACTTTCTCTGGTGTTGTGTTCCCCCAGACATCACACCACACTACCCCCCCCCCCACATCTTCTAGAGGAATACGGGAGTTCTTAACACTTTCCAGCTTCTAGCCGCTGGGTGTGCTCAATCCCACTTAGTTGAGACTAAGGTAGTAGTGTTCTCCCAGTGTAGATGGTGTGTACTCTCCTCCTACTGTAGACCTGATTTACAATTCCAGATGCCACCTGGTGATGAACTGGACGATTCCACCACACGCAGTTCACCCATCTGGTTGGGAACCTTCCTTCCTACAATCACCTGGGTGTGCTGGTGTTGGCCAGAGCTGGACTAGTCACCTTAAGTTCTCACACATGTGGTTGGGCTGGGACCCTCCTCCAACCATGGACTGAATGATACATTCCCAATGCCACATGGTTTTAGACTGGAGTTGACCCTCCATGTTGCATTCCACCTTTCTACCATCACCTGAGTGGCTGGTGTTGGTTGTGTAGTGTACTAGCACACATGTGCTGACCTGGGTTTTTGGAAAGGAAATCCTCTTTCCCTTCTGATTCCTCGGTCAGAGGTGAAGATGGTCTGGATGATCCATTTCTGGTGCTGCCTTGTTTTGGACTGGAGTTGACCCACCAGTTATGGTCTGCTGGGCCCTAGCCACTCTTCACCATTGGGCATGTCCAAGTTTCTTTTGGATGTGCTTCTTTTTCTGCCTGCTTAGTGGCACATATCTTCACTATGGGTGAGGATTATACTTGTTAGATATGTGGTGCAATTCGCCATGGGTCTGTACATCTACATAGAGATGTCACACTCCGTGGTGCTCATCTAGGTAAATTTTCACCAGTACTCCCACCATTTCAATGTGGGATTCTAGCTATTACTTCAGAAGAGGTAAGTTATTGTATCAGAAGTTAACATTTTCCTACATTGAAAATGTATTTCTCACAAATATTTACTTCAGTGCTTCTGTTTGGCCTAATCTTGAAGTGAAGATTGGGTTCAACAGTACAGAGGGAGTCGGCTGCACTAGGACTGTCTGTTGCACTCCAGTTGGTGGATGTAGGTGGGAGCACAAGGGTAGTGGCAATAAAAAAATTGTGCATGTAGAGGGCAGTAGTTGTCAAGAAAAGCTATTATGTTCACACAATGTGTGTAATCCCATTTTCTAATGACTTGCATTACATATATATTTGGTAAATTGGATTCCAATTTTTGTACATCTGAAGCAGACAGGAATGAAAAAGTATTGGGAGTTCAGATGATAGAATACTAAAAATACTCATGGAATCTCATTCCGATAAACTTTAGTTGATAAGTGACTCAAAGTTTTGTTGGTATCCCACATCTGAATTTAAGGATGAAAAAGTGTTCAAATACCATAGCTATGATGGGTGTCCTAAGGTAGGGTGTTTAGGCTCAAGAAACTTTATCTATAATAAAGATTTCTTGAATGAGAAATTGTGTGAGGTGATACTCCTTCATTTTTGTTTTACAAACTTTTTCATCCATTATTTTTTGAGATTGTTTATACATAATGCTGGTCCACACCCTGTTAGAGGTAAATGTAACACTACTCTCACAGCGATACAAAATGACCAACACTGAGTGTTGCTGAAGTCTTTGTCACAGTAGCTATAGTCATATGTAAATCAGTCAATCACATGTTTTATCAATAGCAAATAATCATCCTGTGTTGAATTGTAATATTGTCATATGGTAGAAGAAAAAGAGATCTTAGAATGTGTAAGTCAGGCTCTTGAGCAGTTTTAGAATGGATATTGCTTGAAACTTACTTAGGGTTTATATGTGTTGTTTGTTAGTTTTGTATTATTAAGTAAATTTTATCTTTCTGCTTATTTTAAGTTTGGAGTTCTGTTGTACTACTTTTTAAAGTCTGGTTCTAACAAACTCTAAATACATTCTGTTCAACTTGTATAGTTCTAATAAATACTGTTTGTTTTTTAAGGATCATGGTTTTAACATTTTGATTATTATTAGTGGAGAATAAAATATGTTTCAGTTGTAACAAGTATTAATTCTAGTTTATATGCCTCATTTTAGTGGTTTTTTCGAGTCAACACTACACGCTCCTTTAGTCAGAAAGTACTTTCTCAAAATTAAAAATCAGTATTCATAAATTTATTGTCATTCTTATTCTTATTTTTGTATTGACAAAATTCCTTAATTAATTCAATGAACAATAATATCATACACATTGATAATAAACTGCGAGCTGTAAATGTAGTGTAGTTAGAGTACTTGAAAAGTAAAATTGTATAAAAATTTCATTATGACATTGTATAACTGGTTTAATTCAACTGTAATGCTGACATATCACTGTGCATGAAAAAAAATATTAGTTGTATATTAATGAATTATCTTTATTTTAAATATAACTTGATCATTAACCAAGTAATTTAGCATGTTTATGAAATAAAGTCATTTCATTATGAAGGAACTGTTGACTGAAGTATTTGACTCATAATAACACAAAAATGATGTAAGCTCTGATGAAGATTAGAAGCTAAAATGCCAGCTAACAGAATGTTGTTTCTGGAGTTATATGTCATTGTTTGTGTAGTTTTACTAGTAAAGTAACTTCATTCTTTGGAGATAAAACATGAAGTAACTTCAACAATTTTCCATAATATTTCCAATTTACATTGAATATAAAAAAACTATCGACTGTAACATTATTTTTAAAGGCCTGTCAAACTGTGGTAGTCTTCAGAGAAGTTTAAAGCTGACAAACTTTGATCTCCCAGATTACTTATTTTTTTCACAGCTAATGTAATAAAAGAATCCAGTATTGATTTTTTCCAAATTAGTGTTTTACATTTCTTTAATTACTTTAGAAAAGAGTTAAGCAATAAACATGGAAAAATCAAAACAATGTCTTAATCGCTTTACTCATTTTATTGAATCTGAAAGATGATGTTAAAATAACTCATCCAATAACATCAAATTCTTCAAGTATATTTTAGCTATAAAACAAAACACAGTAGAATCTGACAGAATGATTCTGTCATTCTAGTAATGTGAAGTAGTTAGGAAACTGTGCAGTTTTTTTTATTGTAATACGTAACTCAATGATTTTTGATGGAAAATCAACATTTGAAACTTGCCATGACAGTCTTATACATTGTTTTGATTCATATGTTGGAAATGTTATGCTTCAAGCTTGTTATCTCAATATTAATGAAGCTGTGCATCACAGGAGTGTTGATTCTACATCAAATATCAGAGTTAAACACTAGTCCAACCATCTTAAACTCTGTTTTACTCTCATGTTAGAAGATAACATTTCAACACAAAACATACCCATGGCATAATGTTTAATTAGTTTCTGCAACGGATTCTTAACACATTTAATATTACACTAAAGTCCAAAAATACAAAACATCATAATTAATACTACTAGATGTTTATGCATATTAAATCCAAGGTTCTATACATAACATTTTATTGATTTAAACTAGAAACTACTGTCTTTATCCACAAACTACTGCACTTTTCAAACATTCATTACATTGGCCATTTCCATTGATTTGGAGGTGGTTCTTGAACTAATGGTTCCCAGGGTTTCCAACCCAACATTTTTCGAGTTAATAATAATTCGTTCTCTGCCTGTAAGATAAAGTATTAATATTTTCTCAGAACATTTAGAATATTCTTAAATCAACCTTCAAGGTTTACACATTCACAAGGTACATGTAACACTAAACAGACATTCTGATGAAGGGAAATGAAACTTTCAACATTAAAAGATAACCAAAAGCTTGTATTCTCTCACAGAGCAATTGTTTACCTTCTAATATGGTTTTAAAAAACATAATTTAGCTAAAGATATTTTTTATATAAAAAAATGTAAGGAAAGTTCTTGCTAAAACTACAATAGACCACACATATAACATTAAAACTTCACTGAAGTACAAAACAAAACTAGGAATTATATTATGTACTGATATCAGATATTTTTTATCAATAAAAGATACAAAACAAGCAATATTTTTCTTTTGCTTATCTTATCAAACCTTACCCTTCAGTTTAGAAGTCATCAGTGAGAAATAGTATTACTGTAATATCCATGCTTTAAATTTCACTTAACACCATAACATGTATAGAAGGGGTAGTAACAATCGGCATATCCAATCACATTGCCATAGGCCATTCCTATGGTTTATAACTAAACAGGTTAAAAGCTGCAATTCCTCTTGCTGCAATTCAATTGATCTATAGTTACATAAAACTGTGATGTACATATAAAGTGACTCATTGTGGTAGGGTTATATTACAGGCATTTTCAATGAATAGTTCTATTCTGCAATTATAAGAGCTTGCAAGGTGTGAAATTTTTGGCTTTCAAAAAAAGAAGATACCTGTGTATTTTATTCTGGTAAAAGATTTCATTCTAACAGAGAATAAAAAAAAGCAGGGTATTCAATGACCACATATCAATGTACATGGTTAACCCTCTAGATACAGGTAGGTCAAAGTGTGCATGTCATGATTTTTCTATAGAGTTACATTCAAAATGTAATTAAACTATCTTATCATCAATGTATATCAATAAACTTCCAATCAAAATGTAGTTTATAATTCAGATTTTAATACAAGTTTTCATTTCAAAAGGAAATATTTAAATTCTCAATCTTCACTTATGTATCACGTGACACTTCTTTGTTCCAAATTGCCCATTTTGGGATATCTTTTTACCACTATATTATTTCCTAAGTTTACAAGAACTTAAACACTTATAAAGTAGATATCCTAAAGTTAAAATGAAAACTTATAACCTAATTATGTTTTGCTTTAATGAGTTATATGCCATAAACTAAAATTTCCCACACCCCTCCTAGTACATACTTCTTTAGGATATATTGATAATTTTCTCTGACATTCATTGTTGGATTATTTATAACCAGTACAAAGAGAATATTTTAATTTAGTGCTTTCATTATAAGGCTAGCTTGTTCTCATAACTGGTTTGAGTTATCCTGTGTCAAGCAATTCCACAGTTTGCTATTACCAAGATCAACCTGACCAGATAAGGAAGTTATTTTAACACACATATAGCTTACTTAGAAAGCCACTTAAATTATAACACTTTTAGGACATTGCTTTTTTGTTGTGTATTAATGTTTTACAAGTTGCATATTTAAAATATATGAAAATTAAGTAAATTACTAACAGCATCCCTACAAGAAAATAGGGTGAGAGTAAAAAATACAAGATGCACATGTAAGTACCAAATTATTTGTTTTTTAATGTATATTTTTTATTATTATTAGGTTAAATATGAAAATTTAAATACAAAAATATTTGATAGCATGAGCACATCTAATGAGTGCAGTATGTTTTAATTTGACCAAAAGTGCTCATAACTTGATGCTGTATTTACACAAAGCATCTCCACTATGATTATTAGTTTTTGCTGTAAAAATTTTAAAATGTGTAATTATTTGTTACAATATGCAGTCATTCTAAAAGAAAAAAGGAAATTTAGATTCATTTCATATTTTTTTGTGGTGGTTACAAGATTGGTCAAATGGACTAAACTCATACACAGTGTTACATTAGAGAAAGTAATAGATAAAATATAAAAGTTTGAATGAGAAAAATTTTAGTGTTCATTTAGAAAGTTCTAGAAGTTATAAAAAGGAAATTTGAAAACTGCAAGGGGAAAAAAGTATCTTTAATCTTAACATAAAAATCAACTTGCACTCAGACTAGTCTGAGTCAGACTCCAATTCCATAAATTCAGAGACAAATCTTTTGTAAAAATACCTAATTAAAATATCTTATTTTCCCATGTACAAAAGACTTATAATGTTTACTAAAATTTTGTGAAGATACAATTTACATAATTTTGTGTTTGCAATGTTGGTAAAAATGAACTTAACAGGGTAAAACAGCTTATTACTGGAAGTAATCCATGAATGCAGCAATTTATTGTAAGTAAAATAGGAATCTCTCTTGGAATTAAAGAAGACATTTCACACGGATTTAGTTCTACAAAACTGGCAAACAGAGCATGTCACAAAATTTTTTCCAGAGAATTTATGGGGAAAAGTTAAGGTAAATCTTATATATATATATAATGCAAACTGTGGTGTTTGTCTGAGCATTCATCTGTCTCCTGTTTGAAAAGCTGTACATGCAGGCAAAGCTCAACATTCACTTTTAAAATGACAGGCATGAATAATGTTGATGCCAAATTTTATTTTGCAAGCAGGATATTCTACACTAAATTGTTATAAATTAATCACACTATCATTCACATTTCAAAATGTGTCATAACTTAACAAATAAAAAATGTAGATTTACCATGTGTTATTGTTGAATACTGTCAGCATGATTGAAATGTTCAACAATTACTTTTTGCGGAGGGTGGTGTAAGTAGCTCAGAGCTTTGGCTCTGAGTGAAACCAAGAGTGCAACACAGTTAACCTTTGTAAAGTCTATGAAATAATTTAAGTTAGATAGCTTAACTGGGAATGGGGACTTTTGCTTATTTTACATACTATTAGGCTAACTGCAAATAATTACCATCTCTGAAGGGACTGGAATGCCAGTACGGTATGACTCTTATTCAGACAAATCATCAAGCCACACCTCCTAGCCAGCATGACTGTTCCTTCACAAGTACAAACAGGAATTCATACCATCCATTCAGAAACATCTACAGATTCCTCATACAAGCATTTGAAGTCAGTGGATAATTACTGAACTTTGGATTGCATGTAAAGGGGAAGTGTAAATTGTTCTACAGAGCAATAGTTTATAACCAAGGCCATCATAAATAACACCATCCATGGCAGGAGAAGGGACTGCAATGTCTAAACATTCATCCTTGTTTTGTTATCACAGACTGTGAATGCCCCACTGTTTCACCAACGGACAAACAACCGTGTTCATGTGAATATTGTTTAATTACTTATACAATACACTTAAGGAGATGTGACCTCAGTGTAGAAATTAGCAGATAACAGTCTTATTAAAATATGTATTTCAAAAGAAATTGTTACTGTTTCTAAGTGCTTAGTAGTCTCCCTTTTATCTATATCATTGGACCATCCCAAACGAGAGAAATGTCCCACCCCCCAAGCTGTATATCAGCAAGTTTTATGAGGTTTATAGCAAGTCGTAAAAATTAATTGGTGATATGTGCTTGCAGACATTATAGATATTAAAAGGAAATTTAATAATTATTCAAAAGATACTAATATTAATAAATCATCACATACAATTAAATGGAAACAAAACACTTTACTGCAATTCTAAATGCTAGATATGTTTGCTAAATATTCTTTAAATAAATTTGATTTTTGTTTTCAGAATTTTTAGGTCAGAATTAATTTTACAGCTGAGCAGCTACTGCAGTTAGCTATGGCTGCAGGTAATTCAGTTACTTTCCTTCTGAAGTTAAAGCACTTTGTTTGTTTGTATGTGTTAGATAACCTCTTCATAAACTAAAAAATTAAAACTCTGAAACATACATCTTATTTCTAAGTAAGTAAGTTATGTCTAGCAGGTGAAAAAAAGATGATAAAAATCAAGAAGGATCCAAAACATGTTCCCTCAATGAATAACCACTCTACAACACATGCCTTCCCCTGTTTCTCATCAGATTTTGATGATTCAGAAAAATGGGTTTGATGACCTTTTTATGGGTGCAACTGATACTAACAAAAAAATTGAAGGAACAATTTTATCTTTTAAATATTTTTTTATATATTGTGACAATTATGTTTAAAGTGCTAAAATTTTGGAGAACACGCACTTCCTTAATGTGTCAATCAAGGGACAGCTTAAACAAACATTTTGCACTTTGGTAAGCCACTGCACTTCTTACCTGCAGTTTTAGCAAAACTCTTCCATTATCTAAACATTTATATAAACTTGTAGTGGAAACTAGTTCTTTAACATATTTAATTATCTTTTAACTTTAAAAATTCAACTAGTAAATTCTAGAATTAAAACATTATTTTTAAAGACAGTTTAGATTATACATATTTAACCCTTTTGAGACAGATCATAGGTGAAAGGCCATGTCATCTCGTTTGTTGACTTGCATTCAAAATTTTATTGAACTACTATTACATGAATTTATGTCAATAAGTTTGGTATCAAACTGTAGATTATAATTCAAATTTTAGAATTATACATTACTCAATTTGTTAATTTAAAAGTAAATATAAAAAAAAACACAAATATACATCGATTTTTGTGTGTCACATTGTATGTTGAATGCAGT